CCTGCAGCTGCTGGAGAACCAGCCCTTCAGGGAGGAGCTCGGTGGGGAGGAGGTCTTCACCAGTCGTGCTTGGCTCAGGGACGAGACCCAGCAGTCTCGGTGCAGACAGCAGTAGGGCAAAGCCTGGGAGCAACGACCCCTTGGGCTGGGGCACACGTAGGCCCCTGGCTTAACATGGGGCTGCCCATGAGCCACACCAGCACCTGCGGGGACCTGGCAAAGGCAGAGGCAGCTGCCGGCCAGCTGGCTGTCGCACATGGCTCAAGTGGGGATTTATTTAGCATCCTTGGCAAAGGCCAGGAAGCAGGGCATACGCAATCATGCTGGCAGCTGCCACAAGGCTGCAGAGGGAGGTGAGACAGGACTTCGGGGGGGTCGGGGGCAACTGGTGCTCAGCACAAGTTAATGCAGACAGGGCAGCTCTGGGCTGCTCCAGCGAAGGGTTGATTATTTCCAAGGCTGGAGCCCTCCCTCTCCCTGTGACAAGTCTTTCCTAGTATCTGGTGGGAATTTTGCTTGCTGTCAGTTGCCCCCATTGCCTCTTGTCCTGTCGCCCAGCACCTCCAGGAAGAACTGAGCTGCCTCTGCGGAGGGAGCTCAGTTCCCAGCTGAGCAAACCCCACTCCCTCGGCCTCTCCTCATCCGCCGTGGGCTCCAGCCATTCTGGCAACCTTTGCCAGACGAGGGTGGCCCCAGCCCAGTTCATGGGTGTGCTCCCCCCTCTACCTGCAGAGGAATGGTTTCTCTGCAACACCCAGCCCACCCAGGGGCCCACATGGACTTTCCTGAGCCCACAGACACCGTCAGCAAGCAAAGACCTGAGGCCAGGCAGCAAACACCTAGTGCCAAAAACCTGTATTTATTCAGAGACCATGTGGAGCCCAGGCCAGCTGCAGCAGCAGTGCCCTGTGTCCTACTGCCCTCTGGCCAGCACCCCTCACTGGGGGCTGACACCCCAACAAGCAACTGCCTCCAGCCCTGCTCTTGCTGCCAAACTGGGTGCAGTTTGGGCCTTGCTCCCCCACCAGTGCTGTCACCCATGGAGACATTCCTACGTTGCCCACAACCATGAGACTCAGCTTCCTCCCTGTGGGGAAGTCACCCTGGTATGTTCACAGCAGCCACAAAGTGCTCCCCGAGATGTGAGGGACCCGTTGCAGAACCACCAGCTTGGCTGAGCAGAGCAGCGCTTCCACCAGGCTTTGGCTCAAGAAACTGCACAGCCACTTTTTCCACCCAAGCTCAAAAGAAGGGCGCCCAGGAGTCATCAGAAAAGAGCAGGTGGGTGCCTGTTTGTGGCTGTTCTCTTGCACCCCTTAACACACTGTCCTCATCACTCCTCCAGTCTCAGCTCTGCTGAGCATTAGCAGGCAGCAAACTTCTGCTGGATGAGTCTGTACCTGAGCAGCTCCTGCTCAGAGACTGACGGCTGCAACCTTGCAGCAGCCTGCAGGAAGTCTTCCATGGTCAGGATCAGAGCAGAGCTCTCGGTATCCAGCCCTGCATGAGAGAGAGAACAGGAAAAGGCTGAGACCCAAGCACAGGGATGGCTGGCAAGATCCAACAGCCCCCTCTCCAGCCACCGGAGAGGCTGGAAGGAAAACATCTGTCTCTGTCCTTCCCCTGGGGGCCAAGCACTGGTGGTGAAGACGATCACATCTGCAGAAACTTCCTGCCTGCCAGAAACCCAGAGCCTAGTATTCAGATGTGGTCCCAAAGCCGTCGAGGCTCTTCTCACACAGCCCAGTTACCGGTAGTGGTAACTCTCCTCTCTGCCCCTGTGCTGGGCCACCCCAACACGTGGGACAGGTAGGGGCTGAGCTCCTACCTTCCTCGATCCATTCCACCTTGCGTTTGACAGCACACATCATGGCATCTGAGCACAGGGCATAGATGTCTGCTCCTGTCAGCTGAGCTGGGCATTTTTCTAGGATGGTGGTGAGATTCACGGAAGGATCCAGTTTAAACCTGCCAAGAGAGAAAACTGCAGGTGTAAAAGCCATAGAAAAAACAGATCAGGAGAGACGCAGCAGCCAGCGTGACTGGGCAGGAGGAATCAGAGGCCCTGTGTTTAGCCGCTTCTGGACTGTGCTCTGCATGCTCCAAAAAAATCAAAGGGGTTGGTTTGTTTTTTCAATGCAGTCACTTCTCTTTGAAACATCCCCACAGCAAGGTCCTCTCTCCTGCTAAGCAGGATCAAAGGCAACTTTGAGTTCTCACTCAGAGAAATTAAGTGCTCCACATGCCTGGGAACAGCCTACAGCCAGGGCTGAATAAGAACATGTTTAATTACAGACAGTAGAAACCACTGTAACACCAAACCATCCCATCAGAGACACGCTGCAGACAGTGAGCCTCCTTCAGCACAAACGACAGCACGATACTGGAGGGCATGACTGCCAAGCCACATGGTGTGAAAAGATGCTCGCAGCCAGCCCACGCTCTCACCTCTCCTGCTAGCTTATTGTCAAAGGCAGCAGCAATCATAGCTATCCATGACAGAAAGTCCCTGCAAAGGCAGATTCACAGCTGCTCACCCAGCTGTGGTGGGTGGTACCTCTGCACCTGAATTGCAGGGCTTGCTTTTCTCCCTCCAGAGATGCTCTCAGGAGCTCAGAGCAGCTGGGGAAGCAGCCAAACCCTGCTGCTTGGTGATCCCACACAACCAGCGTTTGGAAAGACATACAGAGCACAGGCTGAACACCCCTCAGCATCACAGGAGGAGAGGCAGGAAGACGAACGGAGCTGCCTTCACCCTTGGAACCTGCAAACAGCAGGAGATGTGCTAGGGTAACTGTTGCAGGAAGCAAATGGGTGCTTCCTGCCATGTTGCTGCGCTGCAGTCTCATCACACTGTTAGGATCTGGCTGAGCTCCTCAAGAAGAGCATGTGGGCACAGTGACTGGAGAACTCTACCAACCCCTCCACTTGGACAGCCAGCTGAGCTGCTCACATCTTGGAGGAAAACCAGCCCCAGTTCTGCTTCTGGAGGTTGCCCCATCCTCTTCCCCTACCTGCTAGCTGTGGGTCAGTGACTCAGATGCTCCCCAGGGCTCAGACATGAAGCCAAGCTGGAACACACTACCCATCAACCCCAGGAAGGCTGCAACCCATTGGAGGGTGGTGGAAGGCTGCTGCGAGAGCACAGGGTCACTCACTTCCTGGTGACGGTGCTCAGCACCTGCAGCTGCGACTCCCGGTCTTCGTTTATGCCCACATAGACCAGCTTGTCAAACCTGTCAGCAGAGAGGAGAGACAGTCGAGAACACGCCAAGACAAACTTGCCACTGGTGCTCAGCCCTGTGCATCAGAAACTGAAGGGTGGCCCTGGGGCAGCTGCTTTTGCTGCCAAGTTCGTGAATGATACAAAGCTTGGGGGGGAAGCAGTCAATGTGCTGGAGGACAGGGCTGCTCTTCAGAGGGACCAGGCAGGCTGGAGAAATGGGCTGACAGAAACCACTTGAGGTCCAACAAGAGCAGATACAAAGTCCTGCCCCAGGACGGGCAAGCCACAGGCACAAGGACAGGCTGGGAGGCAGCTCTGCAAAGCAGGCCCTGGGGGACCAATTCCTCCTACCAGTTTGGTGCCACAGCAGGTCCCTTATTGCCCTGCTGTGCTGCTGGGGCAATAACCAGAGCGGTGGGTAATAACAAGCAGTGGTATCTTGTGCTGCTGCTACAGCCATAGGCACTGGCCTGCTCTTGGCTTCCTATCTCCCCGACAAGCCAGGGCCAGGGGGCTTTAAGAACAGTCTCTGTGGAGGGAACATGGTGGGGACACAGTCCAGCTCATCACTGCCCGAGGAGCTCTGGGGAACTACCCTGGCGCGAGGCATGGTAGGATGCGACATACCTGCCTGGCCGGAGCAGAGCTGGGTCCAGGAGGTCAGGCCTGTTCGTAGCTCCGATGACAAATACCTCTCTGGTGGAATGAAGGCCATCAAGCTCAGCCAGGAGCTGTGAGACAACTCTGCAGGGAGCAAGACAGGACGGTCACAACTAGGCCTTGGCAAGTCACCCACTGTCACCCTCAGCCACCAAATGAAAAGAGGAATAAGCGAGGCCACTGGCAGGTCCATGTCCTAGACTTCAGCTCATACTTCTCTTCCCTGAAGAGCCCCGACACAGCCATCCAGACTTTGTTTGAGTGCAGCCAGTGAGCGTGTGGGCTCATTGCAAAATGACTGCAAACCCCCAGTACCAAGAGAGTCCTTCAGGCCTGTGCTTGGCTCTGAACCCTTACAGGATGGCCACACGTGGTTATACTTGCTATCAGACACTGGCAACACAGACCAAACACAGGCAGGCAGGCATGGCTATGGCTCAGGTTCCCCACTCAGATATCCTGGCTGGCCCTAACTCTTCCCGCTATGTGGTACTGCCCAGCAAGTTCAGCTGCAAGACTGCCCTGTCAGTCCACGCTGGGGACACCCTGGCAAGCCAGTGACACTGCCAAACAGTTCTCAGGGTGGTGAACGGCACACATTGCAGATCTGCGGCCATGGGGCTTAAGCTGGTCTGGCAGCACAGTACTTCAGTGCTGCACAGACCTCCTGGAATGGGGGTATCTCCACCAGGTTCTGGGATCACCTGAGGCAACCAATGGGCACCATATCCAGCCCCTTCCAGAGCTGCTGGTTTGTGTGTGTGAAGATGGATGCCAGGAGCACGTGGTGTCACTGGAAAACTGCAGAACCCCTCATGGATTGAGAGGAAGATTGGATGGGGACTATCAGCTCAGCAGAAGAGGCCTGGGGGAAATAACCCTGTTTCTGGGTATCTTCAAGCTGTACATACTTTGCTTCTACTAGAGGCAGCTGAAAGGTTTCCCACTGCAGGGAAACAACAGCTAATAGGAGGAGAGCACAGCAGGGGTGTGAAGGATGACCTTGGAGAGGCCAAAGGGAGCAGTTGGCAGCCACAGAAGCAGCAGGAACAGACTCTGTCTTAACCAAATGTTTGCACAACAAGCTTGGGCAATTGGGAATCTGCGGCAATGCAAACAGCAGTACTGATGTCCAGAGAGAGGAGACAGGCCATGCAGAGGAGCTGAAGGGAGCAGGGAGGGAAAAAGTAGAGAAAGAGTTGGGATGGACTTTGCCTCACAGGGCAATCCTGTGCATGCCCCAGCTGAGGCAGGTATGCTGCTCTCCCAAGGACACATGATGCTCACTCACCTGTCCATGACACCCCCTGAATCTCCACTCCGCCCACGGCTGGGGGCTAAGGAATCCAGTTCATCAAAGAAGATAATGCAGGGAGCAGCTGCCCTGGCTCTGGCAAACACTGGGAGGAGACAGCACAAAAGGTGAGAAAGACCTAGAGGAGCAGTCAACAGCAACAGGACCTGCTATATCACCAGCAAGGAAGAGTTGTGGATGGAAACCAGCTGCCCACTGCCTCACCACCACCATCTGCTCCTGCCTGAGGGGCTCAGTAGGAGCAGGGACAGGCAGCATCCAGCACAATGGGCGCCGAGGCTCAGCTGTGTCTGTAGGGGGCTGCTGTCCCATCAGGAACACCAGAGACAAGAGCAACAGGAGCAGAGAGAGCAGGAGGGGAAGCTGCAGCGAGGCAGGGAACAGACTGGGTGTAGGAGACAGTTGGGTTTGTGCCCTTGCTGGCAGCTGTGGGTGGGAGTTGGGATGAGGGGTTTAAGCACTACCTCCTTCCCTCCAGCACCACAGAAAAGCCCCATCTTCCTACATGCAGGAGCAGGATACATCTCCTCACCATTACGCACGTTCTCCTCGCTTTGCCCAACGTACATGTTGATGAGCTCTGGCCCTTTCACGCTGTGGGGCAGGAGAAGAGGGAGCCAGTTAAAGCATGCCCATCCACTGCCAGGAGAAAGTCAGTCCCATTGCGTGATGCCCCACTCTTCACCTAAGGAACGTCATGGCGCATGTGGTCGCCACAGCTTTTGCCAGCAAGGTCTTCCCTGTCCCTGGAGGCCCGTACAGCAGCAGACCAGAGCGGCACAGACCCAGTGACAGCAGCTCTGGGTGCTCCAGGGGCAACTGGATAGTGTCCAGGATCTCCTTCTTCACCTCCTGGAGCCCACCAACATCCTGCCAGGACACGGAGGGGATCTGCCAAGAGAGGGAAAGTCCCTGTCAGCACTTCTTCCTGAGCCCCGAGCATGCCTAGGCAGCTCTTGCTGCAGTGGGGTACTAGCCATCAGCCCCTTGTGCCACAGCTGTGTCTGGCTATGCAGCAAGTCAGCCCCACACTGCACTGTCCAGCCATCCCGGCTGTGGGATCCCCCAGCATCCACATTTCCCCTCTCCTGAGCTTTGCAATGGGAAAAACAAACTGCACATGTCCCCAAGCAAGCTGCGCTTGCAGCGTGCCGCCTTGTCTCCAATCCTCCTTTGCACCTCATATCACCTGTCAGCGAAAATACCCCAGGGAAAGTATCTGCCAGGGTTGCCTGCAGTTTTGTGGGGAGAGAGCCCTGCTGCAGCCCCCCTTGGGACACATGAGGGAAGGTAAAAATAAGAAAGAAAAAAAAAAAGAAAGAAACAAACCCGGACCTAGCAATTACAAGCTACTTGTGTTCAGTGCACCTTGTCCCCCAGGGTGGTGAGACTGTGCAAGGGCTTCACACCAGAGCGACAAAACCTGGGCTAATAGGACCTCTGTCAAGTGAAGGAGGATGTGAGAGACAGACATCCTGGAGGACACTGTACAGAAAACTAGCTGCTTTTGAAAGGGGGGATGCAAGAACAAAGTCCATGGATGCTTACAAGAAATAGATAGGGATGGGGTCAACTGCAAACATGCAAGGGATCATTGTGAAGACAGGAAAGACAGCAAACTTGAGAAGGGTGAGCCATGCCACTTTCGTTATTTTATGCTGAGCAAAACAATCTTGGAGGATGCTGCTGCTCTGCTTACAGCTTAAATAGCAGGAATGACACAGTCTGCATGACAGGTCCTCCTGAAAGTCAGAGCAGCTCTCCTGGGAACGCACAGAGAAAGCGAAGCCTTAAAACGCTTCCCCGCAGCTGCTGGCTGGGTGGAGAACACCATGTGTGCCAGCACATAGGGGGAGTTTAAAAATAGGCTAGAGCAAAATTCTTTCCCCCTCAGCCAATTTAGCTCTCTTTCCTTTGCTACTTGAGACGATGTTATCTCATGCTATTTCTCCAGCTGTCCAGCAAGTCCACCAGGAAAATCAGGTTAGACAAGATAAGGATTTCCAGAAAAAAATCTTTTAAAGCAAAAGATCACAGACCCTCTCCCCTGCACTCTTGCTTATACAGCCTTGCTAGAAAAAGCTCTACAGACATCAGCATGGGAGCTGGAAAATTGCAGCAAGGTTGTTTTCAGGGGAGAACATCGTAAGACACTGCTAGCAACTGGAGGTTTGAAATCAGTTCTCTCTAGGAGGATCAAGCTGTAACTGCAAACAAATGTGTGACTAACCAGAAAATGCAAGCAGGGAATTGAAAGTTATGTATGTTGAGGGTATCCAAGTCTACTAATGGGCTTTCTGAACCACAGCCAATTACTAAGAAATTGATAAAGGATTATAAAATACAAACAAAATTAGCTCCCATTCACACAGCTCACTGCCGAGCATGCTCTAGCGTTATTAGTCGTATAGCGAACTTGGCAAACACACCTCAAAGCAGAGCTCATTTCAGTCTCTAGTAAATTTATGAATGAATTAAGTCCCAGAGTAGCTCCTGGATGATGACACCAGCAAGGTGTCATCCTGCTAGGGCTGCAGCGTTTCCTGTCCTGTGCTGAGCTCAGTCATTCGCACTCGAGGGCGTGGAGAAGAGGCTCCGATCACTTTGCTCGGTCCTAACACCACGGTACCCAGCAAAAACAGTCACCCCAAATGCTGTTTCCCTGGGTGCTGAGCTGCCAGAGGCGGATCATGCCCCTCCCGAGAAGCTGACTCTGCCAGTTTTCTTTGACACTCCATGTCCCTTTCCCTGAAGAACCCCCAAGCTCTTCAAACTGCCCAGCTGTCAGAAAAGCCCGTGCCAGCTCCAGCAGCGTCCAAGGCCAGGGATCAAGTATAAAGCTTCTCACACGTGGGGAAACTCCCTTGCCAGCTTGTGCCTCTCTGCTCCCATATGCCAGGTGGCTGGAGACACCTCAGCAAGGCAGCCAGCCTGTGGTTGCCTTTGCCTCTCAAAAGGCTGAGCTACACAACCGGCACCCCTATGGCACTAGCCAACTGAGTGGTCTCCAATTAGAGTGGCAAGGGCTTCCCTGACCAAATTCAAAGCCAAGAGGGTGAAAAGCACTAGTCGGGAAAGCCCACAGTGGGACTGTTTCCCACCCAAGGCTGGGGGAATACATGGAAGGGCACAGTAGGAAGTAACGTGCCAGAGCACAGCCCCATCTGGCGAGGTCTGCAAGAGGCACCTTGAGCCACACAGCTCTGGAGAACCAACCCCCCTTCCTCTGCCCCAGCATCCTACCTTCGGGGCTCCCACTGCCTGTGAATGGGCATCATGCAGCTGGTCCAGCGCAACACTAAAATCCTCCTCAAGCACTGGAAACCCAGCAGTGCAAAAATCTCTCTCCACTTCCTCGGTCAGTCCACCTGGAAAACTGGCAAGGAAAGAGAAGGGAAGGACTCGGGCTCTGCCCCACTCCTGGCATTATCAGGCTAGCTGCAGCTCCTGCCCTCCCCCACCTCCTGCCCTGTTGCCTCTGCTACCTCAAGGCCTGGATGCGGGTGCAAGCAGCCCGGCTGCTGTGGGACAACAAGGCACAGAAATCTCCCAGCACAAAACCCTGTGAATGCGGAAACAAACAGCATCAGTTCAGTCCCTGACCACAGCTCCAGCTAGGCCATAAAAGGTGTATGGGGAAAAATTCCTTGCAGAGCTGTTCTTTGAGCTTCTGTGCCCTGGTTAAAGGCTCTAACTTCTGTTTTTTTCTATTGGCTCTGTCTTCTAGCAGGGCCGAGCATCAGTCAACACCTCTGCAAAAGGCGTGCAGTCTTCAGGCACTAGAAATCCGCAGTTAAAGCTGATGTCTGAGGACCAGGGTTAACCACTGAAGAAGCTGACTGGGCTGTGGGAATTGCCCCTTTTCTCCATGGCTAGGTAGGGGAGGTTGGCCCAGCACTCCCGGCCTGCCCATCTCCACACGCTGCTGTGGTTTCACTCACCGCAGTCCTGCGGGCCAGCTTGGATAGGCTCACTTCTTTGCCCAGAGGCAGACTGGCAGTCAGCATGCTCAGCATCGACCTCCTCTGCTCTTCTGAAGGGGCTTCGATTTTCACCTCGTGAAGGAAAGCGGTCTGCACATCTGTAGGAACATCCTGGGGCTTGCAGGTTGTGCCAATCACCAGGACAGGGTGGCTGTTGAGAAAAGAGGGATAGTGCATGGTCTCAGCTCTATGGAAGCTTCCCTCTTACATTGCCATCACATACGCCAAGTCACTCTCTAATGGCAGCCTTTCCTCCGAGAAATGCACACGTACTGGCCAAGCTGTCTTGCAGCCACTCTCCTCCGGCTTGCCCTTGAACTGCTTTATGAGCTCTGTCTCCAAGTCAAGGCCCTTCAAGTGACATCTTATTTCTTCATTTGATGTCTCCCTCCCTGCACCCTGGTACTTGTCATCAGCTTCAAGATTCTCCCGGGGTCCAGCTCCCTTCCAGGGTTCCCTGCGACCCTTGGCATGCCTCACAACAAACATGCCGGGTTTGCTCATCTGAACAACTCAGAAACCAGCTTCAGACAACAAAGCTTCCTGATTCCCTGTGCCACGAAGCTGGAAGAACAAGGGCCCTCTGAAGTAAACACAGCAAGTCTGGGAGAGACTCCACCAGATTAAAAATAAAACAGGGCACGTTAGCAATCAGTCACCTTGATGTAACGGTGACTGCTGCCCTAGGAATGGCAGAAGCAAACAATCACCTCAGATGCCCACAGCAAATGTGCAGGGTCCATACCTCAGTGCTGGGTCTCTGTCCAGGAGCAGCTGTCTCAGAGTAGCGATGACCCTGGCGTCCTCTGCTAGCCTGTCCCGGTCTCTGCCAAGCACCTCGATATCTTTCAGCAGAAGCACACACGGATGGTACTGCTGGGCCTGGGCGAAGGCCAGCTGTACTTTCTCCTCTGTGGCTCCACTAGTGTCACTGCACAAACTAACGCAATCAACCTGCGAGACAGACCACACAAAACACAGTCTGCAGCGGTTGCAACATGGACAGCTGGGGGCCCCAGGACAATGTTCACTTCCACAAAGCTTTCCACGGGCAATTCACAGCTGAAAGGAGCTCTAAGTGGATGTTTCCCAGAGACATTCAGGACATATTCAAAATAGACACATTCAGTACTCTCTGGCATGGAAAAATGGTTGTTTCTTGCTTCTCTGCAGGATGTGAGGGGGCCAGAAGGGTCTTGTCTGAAAAAGGTGAGGCCAAGGGACCAGGGAAGTAAATATAGTGGATGTCACAGCTCAGCAACCTAAGCTGGAAGGGATGAGAGAGCGGTGGAAAAGGCCAAGACAGGGAGAACAAGGTGTCTCAGGAACAGTGCAAAGAGCAGAGGGGGATGCTCAGGAAACTATTCAACCCAGTGCCACATAGGCTCAAAGTGCAAGAGGAAGGTAGAAGGTAAGGGGGCCGGGGGGGAAAAAGTTAGAGATGGCTAGAGGCCCAGACACTGTTTACAAAGCAAACAGTTGATGAAGTCATCCAAAGGGAGAGGTAACTGGTGAGCCTTGAACAGCAGCTTGAATGCTGCTGGAAACAGGCAGTGCTGCCTCCTGATGCTGCAAGGTCACACAGGGAGAGCCAAACCACCCCTGGGATTTTCTGGGCCTCATCCTCAGAAAGGGTAGCTTGGAGCAGGGAGAACACCTCAAGAGCTGACATAAAAGGTAAGGACAGGGATGCAGCGCAGAGGAACTCCTGTGCTCCATGTACTATAGAAAAAAACAGGAGTTAGGGTTGTGGCAGGCACAGCCAAATGGCAGCAGTATCTGTATGCACGTACAAAAGGGCAGAGAGAAAGGACAAAAAACTGCTGATTGTCAAGTGGTGGAGATTACAGTGTGGAAGAATTACTGTGTCTTGGTAGGAGAGCTGGCAGAACAGGCTCTCACAGAAGAGAAGATGGAATTGTAATGTAAGCATTGCAGTAAGTGAAAAAAGGAAGGTAGAGTGTAAAAGCTGGGATAGGAGAATAAGATGGACAGCAAACACCTCTGGTTTTAATACTAAGAGTGTTAGTCTTTAAAAGCAGCACACAAGGCCAAAACCAGAGCTATAGCCTTGCACATCACACTAGAACCTGAGGCCACCTGCCAGGACATGGCAGTGCCACAGTCCCCCAAACACATCCAATACATGGATCTGAACGTACTGTGAAGTCTCTGCAATCTTGTACTGGATCCCAAGAGCTATGGCACATCTGCAGAAGAGTACGAGCTCAGCACCACTAACGATCATGTCCAGAAGAAGAGCTGCACAGCAGCTGGCCAAGGCTTTATCCACCTCACCCACTGACCCACTGTTACGGCATTACTTGGATAGAAAAGAACAGTTAAAGAGAGTAATGTCAACTTAACAGGACCCAACTTCTAAACAGAGGAAGAAAACCCAAATATCCAAAATGCTTAGCTTGTTTTCTATGAGTTTACTCTGAAAACACCCACAAAAGAGGAGCAAGCCTATGTTTTCTTTCCACAAAAAGGAACCTTCCAGTCCTCTTCTTCCCATCTTTCTTCTTCTTCCAAGTCCTTTCAGAGTTTCAGAAACTCTCCTAGAAAAGTCACCAGGTGACTTCCAATCCCCTCACTTTTGCAAACATAACTCTACAGATTCAAGGAGATTAAAGCATTTTTGGGATACACCCAGACTGTCAGATTGAACAAAAGAGGTGTGCAGAAGGAAAATAGTATTTTTAACAAGTCAGTGAAGACTGCCTTGGTGCCCAGAACCTTCAGCGCTGGACAGAAACAGGAGCTAGATCTCATCTTGGCCATGAAGCTTACCCAGTATAGCCACAGGTGTAAGAACATAGGAATGGCTGTATTGGTCCAGACCAAGAGTCCATTTAGCCCGCTATTTTGTCTCCAAGCCACAACAAGTGGCTGCTTAAGAAAGAGTAAGATCATAATCCTCTCCCTTCAGTACTCTTCCAGGCACCTACCATTCCCACCGAAAGGGATTTTCCCAGTCAGATGTGGTTTCATAACAGTAGATTTCTCCTCCAAATACTCTTACCTACACAAAGAACCATCTCCTTTAGCTTGCCTGTTCCTACTAGCTTCACCTGACAGCCCCAGGCCTCGTGCTGGCACAGAGAAAAGTAAACACTTTCCACTTTCTGCTGACTACTCAAGATTTTGTAAATCATAGAATCATAGAATCAT